AGCCCGTTTTCATTGAGATGTTCTGCGGCTTGCCTGGGCGGGGGGCCGCTCAGTGCTGGGCCGCGGTCGGTCTTCGTCGAACTCGCGCGCAGTGCCGCAGCGAATCGCGCCCCCGGAGGTCGCTCATTCGCAGCGAGCTGCTGACCGAGCGCCAGAAGCACCGCGGGCATCCGAAGTTCGCGGCGCCCCGGGAGGGCGACGCCCAGTTCAGAGTCGCCGCGATCAGCTCGACCGCGTCTGCTCGGCTATGGCCCGCGCGACGCAGGAGGGCAGCGGCCACCTCGCCCGCGCGGCCGATCAGCTCCGCGAGTGGAACCGCGACGCGCCAGCGGCTGCGCTGGGTGCCGCTCGCCGCCCCGAGGAGGCCCATGTCGTTTTGGCGCTCGCGGAGGCGGGCCCGCGGCGCTGGCCGCGCGCTACGCGCGCCGACTGCGCGCGTCGACGCCAAGACTGCGCGCGCGAAGGGCTTCGAGGGCGCCCTCGTCGGCCTCGCCCTGGTTTCGCGCGGGGCGGTGAACGGCGCCCCGGACCACGTGAGTAAACAGTGGCCCAACGACGGGACGTCGCCACTCCTGGTTTGCCGCCCCCCCCCCTGCCGCGGGAAGTCCTGGACTGCGCCTTTCGCCGCCCTGGCGGCCAGGTCCAGATGGCGCTGCGGCGGCTTGCGGGCGAGGAGGTCGCTCGCGGTGAGTTCGCGGCCGTGGCCCGCGTCGGCGCCTTCGAGTTCCTCTTCTCCGTCGCGGGCCATAGAAACAATGGCCATAATAATGGCGCAATCTACGTCGGCCAGGCGCCGATGGCCATGGCGGGCGCGCGCGCTGGCTTCGGCGCGCAGTCGGGCGAGAGCGTCGAGAGCTTCGCCGCAGCCATGAAGGAGCGATTGCCCCCCGCCGTGCTTGGGCAGGCAGGCCCGGGTGCTTTTCTCGGATGCGCCGATTGAGAAAATGCATGATCGCTTGTTGAATTGTCTCGGCATCGCGCAGGACAGGCTGAGCGTGGCCCCGCGGGCCGTGCAGTGCGCGGACGGGAAGAGAACATCCTGCTCATTTGAGCTGCTGCAGCGCACGGGGAAGTCATCTTGCCCTCTCGGCGGGCCCGAGGAAAACCCGTCCACGGAGATCTACCGCGGCCTTCCGATCGCCGAAGTGGATTGGGATGACGCCCGGCCGGCGCTGGAGCGCGACGGCAAAGATTGGTCGCCCTTTTGTGACCACCCGTTCGCTTCCAACGCAGAATGCGCGGCCGAGCTGAAGCGCGTCGCGCAGATGCGCGACGACCCCATGGGCCGCCGGAGCGCCAAAAGTGCGCCCCTCCACCATGCGGCATTCGGAAACTCCCGTTACCTTCGCAACAGCTCGGTGATCGCCCGGCTTTCGCGCGGGCAGCCGATCGCCCAGGGCGCGCCTGAGGGCGAGGCTGAGCACGGGAATGTGAAGCGGTGGGGCTCGCGCGTCTGGCCGCAGCGCGAGGACCGCGTTCGCGTCGACGAGGAAGTCCACGCCCCCTACCGCTTGCTGGTGCACGCCGCCCAGCGCGAGCCCCACGGAGCGCGGCTCCCGCCCCTGCGGCTGGCTCAGGTTTTGCCCGGCCAGATTGCCGCAGGCGGGTTCTGGGGCGGAGGCTCGGCGCCCGCGCCGCCGCCGCGGGCGGGCCCGCCGCTGGCGACGGCGGGGCGCCAAGGGCTCGAGGCTCCCATCGTGGAGGAGGGCCGGGCTCTCGCAGAAAAACAGAGTTTGGGGCAGAAAAAGAGGGCGGCGGCGCGGGGCAAGATGGCCAAGAAGCATGCCCGCAAAAGCAAGATCGCTTGCAAGAAGGCCGTCAGGAACCCGATGAAGGCCCGCGCCGCGGTCGAGGACGACCTAGGTCTCCAGGTGTAGGATTCTTTAGCAATGCGTCTCTGACAGTGGCCTGCCATGCCTCCTGTTTGGAGGTTTCTACTCAGTGATAGCTCCACAACGGCGGGCCGTTTTTGCTCCAGTGGGCTGAGCTTGGCGATGGGCGTCGCTTTGTTATTGGCATTACTTGTGGTCTTGTGGCGAGGACGAGCGAAAGCATCATCGCCGTCACCTTCATCACCAGCGCCATCAGCGCGCATCGTCGCCAAACTGCTTGCAAGACGGTGAGATGAGAGACGGAAGGGGAGAGAGAGGAAAGGAGAGAGACGGGGAACACAATATACGGTTAGGGGGTGAAAGGCTTGATCCATTATCGGGGCAGTTTTGGTTCATTCTGGAAGGGCTAGATGGCCTAGGTGGCCCAGATGTTTAGACGGGGCGGCTAGGCCGAATGGTTTAGGGCCAGGATTTTCACGGGGAGGGGGAGCTGGGCTGGCTGGGGGGCGGTGCAGTGCCGGCGCAGTGCGTGCGCGCCGAAATTACATGGTCGGGGCGGAGGGGGCGCGCCGGCTAGGGGGAGAAGGGGAGCTGGGTTGACTGGGGGGGGGCGGTGCAGGTGTCGCGCGTGCGTGCAGACAAAAATGGCCGGGGCGGAAGAGGCGCGCTGGCCGGGGGGACAGGGGGAGCGTGGCTGGCTGGGAACGTGTGGGCGGTGCCAGTATCGTGCGCGCGTGGTGAATGAAAGTGGTCGGGCGGAGGGGGCGCGTTGGCTGGGAGTTAAGACGGGAACTGGGCTGGCTGTGGGGGCGGGGGCCAGTGCCGTACGTGAGTGCCGAACTAGAGTTATCAGGGCGGAAGGGGCGCGGTGGCTTGGGTGGCGGGGGAGGGGGGCTTGGGCTGGATGGGAGGGGGTGGGCGGTGCTTGTGCCGTGCGCGCGTGGCGAAACAATGCGGTCGGGGCTGAGGGTGCCCGGTGGTTGGGGGGAGAGGGGGAGCAGGGCTGGCTGGGACGGGGGTGGGCGGTGCTGGTGCCTCGCATGCTCTAGAACGCCCTTTGCAAGATAATGAAGGGCTCCGAGGCCTAGAACACAACTGTCCAAGATAATAAGGGGTTCCGCGAAAGGGTTCCGAAGCCCAGGGGCCAGAACCACAGCACGGCCACGGCCACGGCCACCACGAAGATAATGGGCTCCGAGCTCTAGAAGATACTCTGACGCGAGGCTTAGGGGACCAGGGCCACGAGCCCGGAGAACACGGCCGCGGCCACGGCCACGGCCACCACCACTACCACAAAATCAAAGATTCCGAAACCCAGAGGCTAGGGCCACGGCCACGGGCCAATCAACCATGGCCACGGTGACGACCAACATGAGAATACATGATTCAAGGGCTGGGGCGAGGCCCGCGAACCCTGGCAGAGGCTCCAACCACGGCGACCACGACAATAAAAGGCACCGAGGCTTCAAACTTCAGGTCTCGAGGGGTTGGGAGGAGCCCAGGAGCCACGGTCAGGGGGCCAGGGGAGCGACGACCTCGGCCACGGCCACGGCCACGGCGACCACGACAATAAAGGGCTCCGAAGATTGAACACTCAGGTCTCTGGGGGCTGGTGCAAACCAGGGTGCCAGGGCCCGACGACCTCGGCCACGGCCACGGCGGCCACGGAAATACAGGGCTCTGGTTTTTCGAGCGCGTGTGTGTTGGAGGGCGACATTGAACTGGTGGAGTGGTGGCCCCAAGGGATCCCACCGCAGGGGGTGCTTGAATTCTGGGGGGGGGGCGCGGGGGGGTTGTCTGACAGCCCCGATCGTGTAAGGATGGACGACCCACGCGGTGTCAGAATCCAGCGAACAGGTCGTCCTGACGCGAGCATGTCTGAGGTAACATCGCTGGTTGGGGGGTGAGATCGCAGTGGAAAGGAGAGCCGGCCCCCACCGGGAACTCGGTTTCGATTCCGTGTTCGTGTCGTGCGTGCGGGCGAGGCGAAGCTGCGTGGGCGCGCAAGACGGATGACGCCGCCGTCGCTAGGGCGATTCGGATGCAGTGGACCGTCCCGCCGCCCCTGGTGGGCGCGCGGTGGCCGGGGGGGGTTCCGCCGTGGTGTCCTGTGTCCTGTGGTGTCCCGTTGGTGTCCCGTCGGTGTTCCGTCGGCGGTGGGCGGGCGGTGGTGAAGTCGGTAGTGAGATCTATAATTTGATCGCTCGAACGGGATGAATAGGAATATCACAGGTGAGATCGACAGTGATACTGATTGTGACATTGGTCGTGAGATCTATAGTGAGATCGATCGAGTGTGATCGATTTTGTGAGGTCGATAATGGGATCGATCGAATGAGATCGAAAACGGGTTCGATAGTGACAGTACATCGCAGCATAGCATCGTCATCACGCGTAGTCGCTAACTCGATGGCGCGTTACTAGCATCATCATCATCATCATCATCATCATCATCATCATCATCATCATCATCATCATCATCATCATCATCATCATCATCACACCCATCGCATTTGCCAGCAGTTGGTTCTTTCCCCCCACCCCCCAACCTCCTTGTCACCCGAAGGATGGTCGTATAGGTCGAATATGGTTGCGCTTGATGGGGCTCGTCATTAAGCATGCAGCGAAGCCACCCTTCGATCCGTGGAATTTTTGCGCGCGCGGCGCTACCGGGGCCCATCGGGGGGACCCAGGGGGAAACAGGGGGGGAACGAGATGGGGAGGGAAGGGGAGGAACGAGAGAGAGAGAGAGAGAAAGCGAGAGAGGAGAGAGAGAGATAGCAATCAATCGAACTGAATCGTCATTGTGCTTCGCGGGTTTGTGGGGCTCCCCAGGCTTCGTCGCGCCAGAGGGTCCCAACACGGCTCCGAAGGCTCGCAAGAAGGTCTCATGACGATGCAAGAGTGCCCCGAGTCTGCCCAAGACGGATTCGAGAAGGCCCAAGATGCTCTCAAGAATGGCATGGTAGGGCCCAAGACAGTCCAAGATGTTCTCACGACTGCACAGACATGCACCCGAGGCGCCCCCAGATGGCTCCACAAGGACCTCCAGGAGGGCCCCGAGAAGGTAAAACAGTTGTTTCCACAAAGGTTTGGGAAGGATGTCGAAGTACTCGCGCTTTCGAGCATCTTCTAAGAAGCCCTTCTAGCTCCGAAGAAGCCTTATCAGAAGTCTCTGGGCCCCTCTGAAAGTGCCCCTGCCTGCTGAGAAGGCCACCCAGCCGTCTTAGAAGGCACCCCCGCCCCCTTGTACTTCCCCCTTCCTTGAGATCCGACCTCATTGAAAATGCATCAGCGCAAACAATGACGACCAGAGCCTTCTCTTTCTGCTGCCCTTTTCGAGCCAGGTCGATCCGTGATGGTCCTGGGGCCCGACGTTTGGCGCAAACGCCCGTGTGCGCAGCACAGATGCAACGCCCAGATCTCAGGCTTTCTTGAGTCGCCCATTTCGATGTGGGGTCCGCCCTTGCCCTGTCTGCCCTCCGCCGCCCCAGAAGGCCCGTGGACTCGCCGGCGCCAGCGCCCTCGAAGGCCAGGTCGAGTGGAGGCGCGGGGCTCCAGGCTCGGGTCGAGGCGGCGCGGGGCCGGCCGGGCCTGCCGCGGTGCCACCGAGCGCGTTCCATTGCCCGCAAAGTGCCTACTCGCAAACTTCAGAAGAGCACATGTCTTCCTCGATGTCAAGTATCGTAGATCCCCCCATGGCCATGGCGGATGCAGGCCATGTGCGAGTGGTTACTTTGCGAGTAGTGCAAGGCGCCTGTCTGGCGGTGGGCGGGACTTCTTTTCAGGGGAGGGCCAGTCATGGCAACGGTCTGGCCTGCGCTGAGACATAATCACTTCATCGATGGGGTCGCGGGCGCGCGAAAGGCCTTTCCGCGCGCACGCGACCAGATCGACTTCACTCGGATCTTGCGTTGCGGAACACTTGCGCGACGTATTGGAATTTCCAGGGGAGTCGGCACGATGTCTGATGGTACGGAATCATCGTCGCGGGGTGTTGGTGGAAATCGGATGAGGATAGTCAGCTTGGCCGTAGGGTCCCTGGCTAAGCGGCCGTTTAGCCTGGTATGAGGGTTCGGCACTCACTGCCCTGAGGACCTCACGGTAGAGTCGAATGAATACCCAGCAGTGCCAAGCAATGACAAGCAGTGCAAAGCCAATACATGCAAAGCCATGTCAAGAAACGCACAGCAATGTAATGCAGCGCGTAGCAGCGTAGCAAGTCTGAGCAATGCAAATCGCCAAGCATTGTAAAGAAATGGCAAGCAGTGCCAAACAATAACAAGCAATGCCAAGCAATGCCAAGCAACGCCAAGCAACCCAAAGCAACGCAAAGCAATGCAATGTCAAGCAAATCAATGCACTGTCAAGCAATGCCAAGCAATGCCCTTCAACGCCGCTTAGGAAGCGTTCCCCTAATTTGGGTTGCGACGGGTTCATGTTTGAAGAAGCCAGTAGGTGCTGGACCCGGTCGCGCCAGGATTCCACGGTCTTGTTTCAAACGGGATCCTCAGAGTTTCCCAGTCTTAACTTGTTTCTTTGCAGTGACGTTCCCCTGGGTCCCCCGGGTTTCCTGGGTCCTTTTGGTCTTCTTTCTTTCCTGTGTTTGAAAGGCCAGCCTTCGTCGCGTTCCTCGAGGTTCCCCAGGTTCCCTTTGGTCTTGTTTCTGCTCTGTTTTGAAATGTCAGCCCTCCTCGGGTTTGCTGGGTACCCCTGGTTCCCTTCTCTTGATTCCTTACGGTCTTTTGGAGCAATGCCGAGAGGCGCGTAGAACTGTTAAGTGACGCAAAGCGATGCCACGTAAGGTCAAGCAATGCCATCCAATGCCAAGCAGAGCCAAGCAGAGCCAAGCAAAACCAAGCGATGCCAAGCCGAGCAATGCAAAACCAAGCAATGCAAAACAATGCCAAGCAACGCAAAGCAGAACCAAGCAATGCCAAGCAATGCAAACAACTGCCCAGCAATGCCAAGCAAAAACAACCGTTACCCAGCAACGCCAAGCAATGCACAGCAACGCCAAACATTGCTAATAAATGCCAATCATATCAACTCCAAGCAATGCCAAGCAATGCCGCTTAGGAAGCGTTCCCCTGATTGGGGCCGCGCCGGGTTCATTTTGAAGAGGCTTTCCTCTGGCTCCTGGGCTCATGGGTCCTGTTTCCTTGCAAGGCTTTCCTCGGGTTCTCTGGGTCCCTTAGTCTTGCTTCCTTCCCTCTTTCCTCAACCACCCCGCTGTGTTGGGGAATCGTTGTGGAGAGAGCGCCCCGCGTGCACTCCTTCCTGCACCTGCCTCCTCCCTGCTGCCATCCCTGCCCCAGCCGTCCGCATGTCCATGCCAGCACGGAGGAGGAGGAGGAGGAGGAGGAGGAGGAGGAGGAGGAGGAGGAGGAGGAGGAGGGGGAGGAGGAGGAGGAGGAGGAGCAGGAGTGGGAGGAGAGGGAGGAGCAGGAGGAGGAGGAGGAGGAGGAGGAGGAGGAGGAGGAGGAGGAGGAGGAGGAGGAGGGAGGAGGAGGAGGAGGAGGAGGAGAAGAGGACTCCTCCTCCTGGTCCCATGTCCGTGCCAGCACACCACTCGCACGTTTCGTGGCGCCGTGTGGAGCTCTAGCTACAAGGCCCCAGGGGCCGGGGGTGGGGGGGGGCATGCGGTCCCCCGGCCGAGTTCGGCGCGCTCCTGACACCTTTCGTGGCCCCAAGGGGGGTGGGGGGGTGAGGGTCGCAGGCGGTCCATCAGCCCATTTCGGTCACACGTTTCGTAATCCTCCTCCTCCTTCTGGATCCTCCTCCTCCTCCTCCTCGATCCTGCTCCTCCTCCTCCTCCTCCTCCTCCTCCTCCTCCTCCTCCTCCTCCTCTCCTCCTTCCGTAGCCATTTTGGCTCAAGCCATTTTGGCTCAAGGTACCCATGTCGCCCTGCGGCCGCATGGATACCGCTGGTCCGCGGCCAGTCCACGGTGTTTCTCCTCGCCTTCACGGAGGGAGTTGGGCGCCCTCATTCATTGCCCTCCCACCGTCCCGCGGTCTCGATCATATTCTCTGTGGCGTGCCATGGGCGGATCAGCGAGGCGGTCGAAGAGGGAGAAGGAACGGCGTCGGAGGCGCCGCGAAAGTGATCATGATGTGTCTGTCTCTTCTGTGTCTGCTGGTTCCTCTGGCTCTGACAAGCCCAGTCGTGAGCGTTCAGAAAGAGGTGACCGACGCCGACGCCCGCCACGCAGTGCCTCTGATGGTCTACGACAGAGCCAAGACCATGAAGCCCCTGAGGTCTCTCGGACTCCCTCCCTGCCGTCTGCGAACCAGAGTATGGCGGATGCGGTCCTCGAGATGGAACGGGATGGCGTACGGCTCTCGCAGGTTCCCACATTCCCGCCTTCGCAGCAGCGTGTTGATCCGCATGACCCTTGGGCTAGGGCTGCAGCCGATGCGATTCTCACTCCTCCTGCTTTCCCTCATGCACAGGTGGAGGGCACAGCGACGCCACGAGATGACATCACTCCTACGATGCCTGCTGGACATGGTGAGGGAGCCGAGGGTGGTCCTGAATGGGCTACCTATGTTTCGCAGGTGGTTGCTTCTCAGCTGCAGGCGCACGCGGCGAACATCACTGCGCAAGTCCAGAATGCTGTTGCCACCACTCTGCAGCAAGCCCAGGGCACGATCATCTCGCAGCTCCAGGCCCACCTCGCCCCGACGATGCAGAGGGTTGACGGACGCGACCTGGCCATTGGCGACCTTCAGAGGAAGCAGCTCGCCATGGAGGACGCCCAGAAAGAGATGCGCGCAGACATCAAGCGGATCAATAACCGCTTGGCACTATCGGAGGAAGAACACTCAGTGGTGGACATCGCCCGTCTCCTGGGCTTTGACAGAGATCCCTACCCCACGATCTTCACGATCAACGCTCCCGATGATGTTGCCCCCGACGAAGTGCGCGGAGCCATCGCATCTTGGATCAGCGACGCCAAGCTTGATGCGGAGGATGCAGTGCTGCGCGGACGGGGACCCAGCAGACGGTTCGTCTTGGAGGTCAAAGGTGGTGCGACAGGTATCTCTAAGGCCATCACCTTGGCCAAGGCTCTCCGCTTCCCCTCGGGGGAATGGAGGAGGTTCTCGGCTAGGCAGCTTTCTGGGGCCACTGGTCCTTTTGTACGTTGGCCCCGACAAAGCCCCCAAGCAGATCAGACGCGAGCAGCAGTCCAAACGATTGGCCGCTATCGTTCAGGAGAAGATGCCCAACAAACGCTGGTGGGCTACCAGAGCAAGAGGCTTGGTGCACATCGAATGTCAGCCGCTGGTTGAGGTGGTGGTCAGAGGTGCCAGCGAGCCTTCAAGACTTGCATGGAATCAAGCAGTGGTCGCCCAGCACCAAGTGGACGTGGCGGGCATCACGGCTGCCTTCAATCGTGCCTTCGAGACGGTGGATACCAGTTCCTGGTCGTGGTCCTGACCAATGGGCTCAGCCGTGGCGGATTGAAACGCTTGAGAAGGGTTCTCGACAAGAGGTCAGGGCCGTCTCATGGAATGCCAGAGGCCTGTGTGGACTCAGCCCCAAGGGGCGCAGGAGAGCTCTATGTCGCTCGAAGCTCAAGAGGCTCGAACCCTTTCTTCGCATGCGAGCGGTCGTTCTACTTCAAGAAGTGCATGGATCTGAATATGACTTACGCTTTTTGTCGAGGCAGTTTCCTTATGAGTACCGAACTTTTTTCAGCGCAGCTTCGTCACCTGGGAGAGGAGGTGTTGCGATTTTGATTCCATGGTACAAGGAGGCGGATCTCGAGAAGCTCCCCTCTGGTGTTACCCCGTCCTTTCTGCCCCGATGTGTGGTTCCTGGGCGCATCCTCTCTCTACAAGTCCGAGGTGCTGGTCAAGCCGTTCACATTTTGAATGTGCATAACTTTGATTTGGACGCCCAGGCGCGCCAGGCGGCGCGAACCTTGTGGAGGCGTGCGGCTGCGTGGGCCCAACAAGATGAACGGCGTCGTTGCTTCATTGCCATTGGCGACTTCAGCGTGGCGGATGTCGCCCCAGACTCCCTTCTGCGGCCTGCGGCTCGGCGTGATGTGGAAGTTCGTGGACAACAGCATCAACCATTCTGGCGTGCGCTGTTTGACTTTCGCACGGTGGAGGTGGTCTCTGGCGTGCCGACACACTTCTGCATGCGCACCCAGACATGTTCGACCATTGATAGGCCTTTTATCTCGCGAACGCCACCTTTCATTCTCGAAACGGAGGTCACGCTGTCGGCACAACAGGAAGCAACGCGGCTGTCTGACTGGCATCTCAGCGATCATGCTCTGCTTCTTCTACAGCTTCGACCGAGAGGGAAGAAATCACCAACGGAGCGTTCGATTCCCGATTATGTCTTTCGTGTGCCCGGGTACAAGGTTGAGCTGAACAAATACCTGGCACACACCGACTGGACTGGCTGCTCTGTGGCTGAGCGTTGGTCTGCCACCAAAGATTTCATGATCAGAGCAGCGGCACGTGTGCGCAACCTGCTCCACCAGCTGCCTCTGGATACCTCGCGCGATGGGGCTGAAGACTCGAGGGGGATCACGCTTCGTAGTATTGCTCGGGC